GTTTTGTTTATTAGGCCTGTAAAGATTACGCCAAATCTGAAATATGTGGTGATGAGTTGAAAGAACTAACAGTTAAGTTAAATTGCATAAAAGAATAGTTCACCTATGATAAAAATTCTATCAACTAGGGCTGTGTAATTAATTGTAATCAAATTTCAATCGTGAATTAGCTAATCACAAGAGGCTGCGATTTGTAATATGGGTATTATTTCATTTCCCAAACCCAGAGCAAATGCATGACTGCTGTCTGTGTGTGAAAGTCTTACTAGCCAGTTGAGTGAACACACTTTTATTCTGCCCAATCAGAACTTTTCAATCTGCCTCTTATCAGCTTTGTTAGTTTGCTAAGTGTCCTTTATTTTTATAATTATTATTTTTTGTTTGTATAATAAGTTTCATTATCTCCCTAATTTAAGTGGAACTTATTTGCACCAGGTAAGATAATTTTATTTGTGCTTACTGTTTGCTCTAGAGAAAAAATAGTTTAATTTCTGAATATTTAAAAACAATTTTGAATAAATGTTGGAGTTAGTTAATATCTTTTCAGTTTCTTTTTTTTAAGTAACACTTCCAGCATTTTAGTAGTAAGAAGTTATGATGCAGGTTATTGAGCTGAATATTGGCTACAAAATTAAATCGCAAATCATATCACAATCTCAACATCTGTCAAAAAAATTGAAATTAGATATTTTCCCCAAATCGCACAGCCCTACTATCATCATTTAATCACCCTTTACTTGTTTCAAACTTGTTTTACTTTTATTTTGTTCTGTTAAAAAGTAGCTGTTTTAAAGAAAGCTGAAAATTTGTAACCATTTACTTGAATAATATAGGTTTTGCTAGTATGGAAGTCAGTAGTTTTAGTTTAGTTTTAGCTGCTTTTTTCAAAATATTTTCTTTACTTTGCAACAAAATAAAGAAACTCATAAAAGTTTGGATTGGAACAACTCAAGGGTGAGTAAATGGTAAGTCAATTTTCATTTTTGGGTGAACTTTCCTTTTAAAAAAACTTTATAGCAGATGCATCCACACATATTTGACTCATTGACAGATCTTCCATGGCAAGAAGTCTTTGCATGCTCACCTGTTCCTTATTCCGCAAGAAAAAAAAATGAAAAATTCCCCACACATTCTTCTTTAACCCATCTGTTATATCCCTTCGCTTGTCCTAAGAAGAAGCTCTGAGAAAAAAAAAAGGAAAAAAAAAAGAAAACAACATGAATTTGTGCTGAAAATTTTTAATATTTATTTAAAAAACAACATAAATTAGATCTCGTGTCAATTAACGTGAGCCCAAAACCAATCAGAATAAATGAGTAAATAAATCAAATCTATCTTGTAGGTTAGTTGTTGATGCACTTTCTACCCTTTGGTCCTCCCTGACAACAACCGGAGGTCCCAGGCTTTTAAATGAGCTTTTGGCTGCAAGATCACGCTAAAAATAGGAGCTGCTTTTTTGCCTCCCTGTTGCTGTGGTCCATGACAAAAAATACTACTTACTCCTTCCCAGTTAATAAACAGCACCTGTTTTCAATGAATGATTCCATCTCTGATGTGCAGAGTTCATGCTAGTTTAGACGGAAAATACATTTATTGTTGTTGTTGTTGCTAAGAACATGATAATTTTTTTTACATGAAAGACTTGAGTTAGAATATTATTGTGGAAAACTTTGTTTAAGTTTTTGTGTGTGTGTGTGTGTGTTGTGAATTTTTACACCTGATTGTAGCCTACATCAGACAAGCTTTCTGAAGTGAAACAGTAGCTAAGGGCAGTCACACTCACCGAGGACAACATTATTCTTAGCACTCAGCATAGTTCAAATAGCTGCTCTCTGATGTCACCTTGCTTATCTGGTGTTGATGGGCCAGAACAGAGTCAATGGATAACACTTACCTGCCATTCTGACTCTCATACAATGGTATTCATATCAATCACAAGAAATGAAACATAGATTTTTACAATGTGATGGTTCAGTTATCCAATTTGATGTGAAAGTGTCTAGCTATATAAGTGTATTTCAGTCCTCTTGCTTTATTTAAACAGGAATGCTATGCTGAATCATCTGAAATTCAACTTGAAAAGAAGGGTAAAGTCTTGCATTGTCACTCTTATTTCCCTTCTCATGATCGTGAATGCTGGCTATTGAAAAGCTGCCTTGGGAACTTTCTGAATGGTCACTTTTATCCTTCTCCCAAATGCATTTCCTCTCTATTCCCAGAATGTGGACAGGCCCCAATTGTTAAATTTTTAAACTTTTTTTTTCCTCTGTTATAAACAGCTGTGTTTCAAAGCCTATATGGCGGCCTACTTCATGGCATCCTGTTATAAGCTGTTGCATCTTTACGCATGAGGAAACTGATATGAGTCAGGACATTGTTCAGGGATATACAGCATCACTCAGCAGTGTGTCATGCCAGTATCATTTAGCGTCCCGTATGAACACATCCCACTTCGCATATGCTGAAACCATTTCGAGAACTTACCGTAAAGCAGATATAACCGGAATGTCTGCACTGTGACTCCATTGGCAGCCATTCCGAGAAGCCAAAACAGAATGATGTCATCATCACAGTGTTTTCAGGGTAATTTATTGCGTCATTGGTTATAGATTTGCAGGGTTAATGTTGGATACACTATACAACTTGTAAAAATTAAACCAGATAAACTTTGCAGTAAAAGGTATAATGACTGTAGTGTAGAGTGTAGAATGTTTTTTTTTTTTAATTATATTAACTGCATAGTCAGCAATAGGGATCAGTTACCATGTTTAAACAGATATGGGTTTAAAATCCATCCATAAAATAAACTTTATTAATGATGGATTTTTTGTTTTGATAGAGTATTCCAAGGCACAATGTCTAAAGGCTCTACCCTCCTCTGGTAAGGGGTGGGGAGCAGGAGCTTATTTGCATTTAAAGAGACTCACCCAAACCGGAGTTGTTGCTTTCACTTAGCTATACTTACTTCAAAAAATGATTGACATCTTGTTAGACATAAATATAGATACTGCCACTTGCAGGTATTGAAAGATACATCTTCTCATATATTCTTGATGCAGTTGGCTGATGTCTGTTTGGTGTGTTCATGCACAGCATCTTGGTACAGATGGGACCGGATGCAGCTAACGTGGGGTGAAAATGCAGTCGGTTCTTTAACGTTGGCTTGACGTTATAGTCTGTTCACATCATACACACCATGTCAGCAAAAATTGTGTCTAGTCTGTGATTGTATTGAAAAAAGTCAGACTTTTTATTTTTTTACAAATCCAATTTCTTTTGCATATAGGTAGCAGAAATATGTGGATGTCCCCCTTTGTATACTTTATAATGTAAAATTATTTGGATTTTGGCAATTAACTAAATAAAATATTAAACGAAGAGATACGGTGACACTGATAGCTTGTTTCCACCGAGTGGTACGGTATGGTTTGATATACTGTACTTTTATGTGAGTTTCCATTGTGAAAAGGTACAAAAAAAAAAGAATCAAACAACAACACTTTGGTATTGTTTCCAAAGAAACAGGTGCCAAAGGGTGGAGCTAGACACACAGCTGACTGCTATTGGTTTACAGAGAAACATCACTAGTGCATGCACAAGCAAGGAGAATGAAAATAAAGGAAGCTCCATTTTTAAATACACAGTCGAGACATAACACCGTAATAATATATACATATAATAGTGAGCCATGGTCAACCTGAGCTCAAACATACCTCCATTATCTTAATGAACAGCCGCAAAGCCAAGAAGAAGCACAGAGTCTGTCATGTGTCTTGTTGTTGATAAGAAGGTTGCCTAAAAGCGTGAGCGTTTTCACTTTCTCCAGAGAGCTCTATTTGCGTGCACTCGCCGCACATCTAAATTTGAAATAAACTTCTTGAGTTGATAATAATAACGTGCGCGTGATTCTTGATGTGCTTCTGACATCCGATCCTTTCAGAAACAGACAGATGTGAGAGTGACATACAAAAAAACAAAGTAGAAGCCGAAAAAAACAAAGCAAATGATTCTTTCAGCAACCTAAAACAATGAACAAACTGTCATGTTTAACTGTGATCATCACCTTTTGGTCTATTATGAACTCAGAATTACGGAATTATATTTTACCAAGTTGTAAAGCATCTAATCTAAAAGCTATTACATGTGCTGATGAAAAATAAAAAATGAGTTGTTTTAGCTGACTGTATACCCAAACATGAGTACTTTCTGGGTATTTTTGTTTTTGTAATTGGTAACATTTCAGAACCTGTAGGACTCTGTATGTTCTCATATATGTTTTATTTAATTTTTTTATTTTATGTAAGTGCAGACGTTACAGTACAATTTCACATTATTATTAATCTGCAGCTAACATCTAATCATGTTCATTGGAAAGGTTAGTAATTAACAATCATACACAAGTAGGCCTATTTGTGTGTAAAGACCATCTGTTTTGTATATGATTTGTAAATGTGCCATAAAGCTTTACTTGCAAGAATGACGTCGGCTGAAACTTTCTTGCGTACACCACATCCATCAAAAGGGTAGCATTGGTACCATTTGGCAGTGGAGACACAAGCCTAATAAAGGTGACCTGTGCCGTACCATACTGAATGGAACCAAATCATTTAGTGGAAAGGAGGCATAACATGTATTGTTCCTTAACTCCCAGAGATTTCAATTATAATTTAATTGAATAAATTTTATTTAATAAATTTAAATCATTGTTAAATAATGATCGGATGAATGTCTTCAGTGGATGTTTTGTATTTTCATTTATTTCTTCTATTTGAATTATTATGTGGAATAACCTGTTACTGATTAAAACAACCTGTGCCTATTTAATTTTTGTTGTTGTTTATTTATTGTATTGTCATTCTTTTGTTACCTTTCAATAAAAAGTTTGTTGAGAACGGAGTATAATTGATGTAGTGTTGTTTCAGCCTTTAGTTTTGGTGTTGGAATATTTTGAACGGATCTTGCAGTATGTGGTTCTGACTGACCTCTCTGTGTCTTTGCAGGTACATTTGACAACCTGTCCAAACTAAGGAACAATAAAAGTTTCAGCAAATACCCCAGTTCATGTGCAACTGGCTGATTTTTTTATTTTTTGAGGAGGCACAGCAGAAATTACCTGTTCTAGTGAGCTGAATCTGACGGAGTAACTGAGACTGTGTTGACTGGGCGCACGTGGCGCCACAATGAATGTCACCTCACTCTTTTCCTTCACCAGCCCGGCGGTCAAACGACTGCTGGGCTGGAAGCAAGGGGATGAAGAAGAGAAGTGGGCAGAGAAGGCGGTGGATGCACTGGTCAAGAAGTTGAAGAAGAAGAAGGGCGCTATGGAGGAACTAGAGAGGGCACTCAGCTGCCCCGGTCAGCCAAGCAATTGTGTCACTATCCCACGCTCACTGGATGGGAGGCTTCAAGTATCACACCGAAAGGGGCTTCCTCACGTCATCTACTGCCGTGTGTGGCGATGGCCCGACCTGCAATCGCACCATGAGCTCAAGGCCCTAGAGTGCTGTGAGTTTCCTTTTGGATCCAAGCAGAAGGATGTGTGCATCAACCCTTACCACTACAAAAGGGTGGACAGTCCAGGTGAGCGTGGCTAAATTGTTAAATAAAAAGATCAATGTGCACTAATGATGTGGATTTTGACTAGTCTCAGTATCACAAAATGTTAGAATCTATTTAAAAAATATAATCATTCAAATTTGTTCATTGACACTGGTTACATCAAGTCAATTCAATTATTTTAAACAATTATTAAAATAAATCCATACATTAACTCACACATTTACCCATTTACTTAAACAAAAGACTTGAAGGCATCATAGATTGAAAAAAATCTTATTAATTCTACTTATTACCAATTTTCTTATTCTATTTTCTAGTCAAAGTATCTAAATGTTCTAATATCAAGAAGCATTTTCTAGAGAAAAAAAATGTCTTGTTTTCAGAAAGAATAAGTCAAAAATAAATGAGTTGTTTTCCTTTATATATATATATATATATATAAATATAAAGCTAATATAAGGGCACCCCCCCCCCCCAAAAAAAAACTGATTTATTTAATCTTTGCCCTGATGATTTTCAAGACACTTCTGTACAGCTTAATGTGACATTTAAAGGCTTAATAGGTTAATTAGGTTACCTGGGCAGGTTACCTGTATAATAATGGTTTGTTCTGTAGACTATCAAAAAATATATAGCTTAAAGGGGCTAATCATTTTGAACTAAAATGTTTTTTAAAAAATTCAAAACTCTTTTTTAATCTAGCTGAAATAAAACAAATAAGACTTTCTCCAGAAGAAAAAATATTATAAGACATACTATGAAAACTATATATACAAATTTTTGTGCTTGTAAAAATGATTGTTGAGTTTAACTTATGTTCAATTGAATATTTTAGTATTGTTTAGATATTCTAAAGAGTCATGAGACCATAGTGTTCAAAAGAAACTTCAAACACAAATGATCACTGTTACTCTGATGAAGGCAAGTCTTTGCCGAAATGCGTAGGCGCAGTTTTAAGGAATAACCAGGCCAATAAAGGCTTTTAAATATTTTTTTCCACATTTTTCGATTGCCGTGGACTGATTTTATTTTTTTATTCTGATGAAAATAAGATTATTTTGCTTACCCTATTGGCTGATTATTTTTCTTGTTTTAAGGAAAAAAATCAAAAAATTTGGACTTATTATTACTGAAAACAAGACAATATGTTTTATTGTGCAGAAAATGCTTGTTGATTTATTCATTTTCAGATATTTTGACTGGAAACAAGAAAATATGGGAAGCCATTGTACTTAGGGCTGTGCAATATGAAAAAATATATAAAACAAAAATCTTTTATTTTGTGCTGTCACAAAATTGTTTACAATAAAATACATTGTTTACAGTAATACTTTTTCTTAATTTATATGAGCGCAATATTACGTGCTATTACATGGATGGAGACAAAAACATGAATAACAGCATCTTGTGAAAGTTGCAGTCTAGTTAAATTTTTTTACCTTTTAAGTTGGACTTGTAACCATTACTTTTTAAATCTGTCTTATTTTATTAATATATATATATTTTTATATTTTTTATTAAACATTTTGCCCTTAAGTTCTTAAAAAAGTGAGAGATATCACAAATGAATGAGTAAGTTGATACTTTAAAATGTCAAAAGAAATAGTCACAAATACATGTAGTCAACATAAAATTAATATAATGTGAGTTGATTGAATTGACAGAAACGTTACAATACCATATGTATCCTCGTCAGGATATGAGATGACTTAAATGGTGATATAAGCTTTTTCGGTTATATCACCCAGCCCTAACTCCACTATAAACAACATGCTTAAGAAATCTTTAATTCAAAAAACTGCTTTTGTTAATCAAAGGAACTGAAACATCTCATTTTGAATTTTGTCTCAATATCATTTTGACTTGAGTGTGTGATGAAAGACTGCATCCGCAGAAAAAGATCAATCCCTTTTTCTACATTGCTTCTTTAGATAATGTAGCAGGTAAGTAATATAAGGCAGACAAAAACACTTAGATTACATTAAGATTACTTAATAAAATGATAGTGATAGGAATTACAGGCTATTGTGCAGTGACATGAATAAATAGTATTTTTACGATTAATGTAGTCAAGCAAATTTAGTCACTAGCTTTTCTCTGCACATCAGCATTTTCAAGCTTGTGTGACAACTGTACATTGTTATTGTACATACAATTCTATAAAATGTATGTGCTGTTAATAAAAGAAATACATCTTATAATTTTTTATTCATTTTTTCCCCATTTTTATTTACAAATATTGTGATATATCTTGAACGGTTTTCTTGTGATATATTAATATATTGCAGACGCGCTGATGTATCAATATTGGGAGCATAATATTGTGAGTTAACCTGTGATTTCCACCCCTAAAAAAATGCAGTCTTTGACTTGCTTTCCATGTGATTCTTACACCATGTCTACATGTCTGACTCTTGTTGTGTTGCATCACACATTCATTTTCCCCTACAACTCAAAAGTAGCACGAGTGCTTAGAGTAGGTCAGAAATAGATCAGGGCATGAGTTTACAGTCTGCGTTTGTCATGTCTCACCACACTGCATCCAGCGTAGGCAGAATTACTGAGTATAATGGCTTCTGTTTTCTTAACTTGCATCACACATTTTACTGCTTACTCCTTTTTTTAAACACAACAGTTCAAACTGTAAAATAAAAAGAAATGCTGTGCTGACTGCATTGCATTGACAGTAATATTGCAACATTGAATTAATTATGGTGGCACAGTGGTTAGCACTGTCGCCTCATAACTAAAAATCCACTGGTTTGAGTCCAGGCTGGGCCAGTTGTCATTTCGGTGTGGAGTTTGCATGTTCTCCCTGTGTTCGGGTGGGTTTCTTCCCCAGTCCAAAGACATGTGGTATGGGTGAATTGAATAAACTAAATTGGCCATAGTGTATGTGTGAATGAGTGTGTATTGGTGAAGGGCATCCGCTGTGTGAAACATATGCTGGAATAGTTGCCGGTTCATTTCGCTGTGGCGATCTCCAATAGAGACAAAGAAAATAAATGAATGAATGAATGAATAAACAACCCACCAAGCAATGTTGTGTTAAATAGTCATCTAGCAATGATGTCTTGAATAAAACAAGGCTAAATTTGGTCTGTCAGAGAAAAATATTTGAGACGTCTAACAATAGGCCAAAAATAAACTATAGTCATTAAATAGACAGATTAGAAACACTTCACATTTCTGTCTATTTGATGGCTAGTCTATATTTGGACATTATTAGATTTTCACTGACAGCCCAAATCTAGCCAAGACATCTTTGTTTAGATTACCAGTGTTGGGTAAATTTACTTATAAAAGTCATATATTAATCCTAATTTTAAAGTAAATAAATGAAAAATGAAAAAAATAAAATAGCAAATAATTTCGTATTCCTTTTATTAAAAAGTAAGCTTTAATAGTAAGCAACTATAGTTTTTAAAGTGATTCAAGATTTTAACATATGGATTTTAAGAGTAACTATCCACCACTGTTTATCACTATTAAATTTTTATTTATGTTTATGTTTTTAACCAAAAATAACCCATATTTTACTTCGCAACAGCATCCATCTATTATTTTAATATGCAAATCTCCTACCCAGTTTACTTCAAAATCTTCCAGAACACCCATCAAAATGGTATGGTCCAATGTGAGGGTCAAAAACAGAAAGTAGACATTTAATTCTAAATTGTGATTTTATTTGTTCTTGAGTTATGTTATATTATAAGAGAACCCCAGAGAATATCAGAAGATAAAAAAGGCATTTCATGACCCTTTAATACACTATTATTAAAGGCACATAATAAATATTCATTCATTCATTCATCTTCTTTTAGGCTTAGTGCCTTTATTAATCTGGGGTCACCACAGCAGAATGATCCGCCAACTTATCCAGCATATGGTTTATGCAACGGATGCCGTTCTAGCTGCAACCCATCACTGGCAAACACCCATACACACTCATTCACACTCATACAATAAAGACAATTTAGCTTACCCAATTCACCTGTACCACGTCTTTGGACTGTGGGGGAAACCGGAGTACCAGGAGGAAACCCACATGAACGCAGGAAGAACATGCAAACTTCACACAGAAACGACATTTGACCCAGCTGAGGTTCGAAGTCATAATCAATATAATTCTATGACAATGGGAAGTTTACGGCACAAGTATTTCTTAAGTAGTAGTACCATATATTTCCCCAAACATTGGCAGCCTATTCAGTTCAGCATGCTCATATAACAGAATGTTATTGTCCATTGGGTTGAATACACAGACTTTAACAGTTGCACAGTATTATCTGAATGGCTGATAAATCAGGCCAATAATGCCTTCAAATGTAAACATCACCATGTGATGCTGACGTGGCTTGCTAATGAGATGCATGTTGTCGTTACTAAGCATAATTATATTCATTCAAAAACCTTCAATTTTAAAATTTCAATTTTATCTAACTTTTTAAAATGTCTTTAGAATAATAAGTGATCAAAATCATTTTGTCAGTGAAAAGTGTGTGGAAATATTTTCCCATATGCACCTTTTTCCACACATGTTTCTGAGTTTCCTTTCCCATGGAGATTCCTGCAGATGGTCTCTTTCTTTTTTTCTGTCCTTCCCCTTCCATATCTCTCTCTGGCCTCTGCCAGGTGCTTTTCTCATTTGTTTGATCCTGATATCGCTTGAGAGAATTTGGATGAATTGAAAACTGTGTAGTCTAAAACCTTCTGTGCTGTGTGTGTGTGTATCCTAATGGGAAACTAAAACTTTTTTTTTTTTTTTTTTTACCTCTGCTTATTGTGAAAGAATGAACTTCAAACGCACAGTCCTCTTTTTGTTGGCTAAGCAGAAGATGAGGGTCAGCTGACAACACAGAAACAGCTGTCCACAGTATGTGTGTGTGTGTGTGTGTGTGTGTGTGTGTGTGTGTGTGTGTGTGTGTGTGTGTGTGTGTGTGTGTGTGTGTGTGTTTGTGTGCACATTATGAGAGCAGGAAATTCCAGGCGGGGGCAGAATGAGGGCTTTGTTCAGGGCCTGTGTACACTTTTGTGTGTGTGTGTGTGTGTGTGGCGGCTGAAACATGCAAACATGTGGCGGTATAGAGGAAGAAGTTTTACAGGAACTCCTGTCACCCACACAGACAATAGCAGGAAAGCATGGTTGCCCGCCTTGCACACGCTTGTGTAGTGCTAGGCTGCGGATGACTGGACACCTGTCTTTCCCCTCCTCTTCAGAACGGCAACATGCTGTCCACATCCATTGTTTAAGAACACTTGTTCACTGAAATACAAGTTTCCAATCTGAGTGGAAATGTCTAGATTGTATCAAATATGAGCTAGTCTGAATGGAAAGGTGTGGGCAACATGAAAGGAAATATGTTTGCTGCTAAAAATCAAAACACCAGTTGCCACATTTTATCATTGTACTATTTTGGCATGGACAGGTGTGTGCGACAACTGTGAATATGATTATTGGATGAGCTTGTCTGCATATTTCAGTTTCTCCAAGATTTGGTGATTGCTGAATTTATCGCAAAATTAAGCAAACTCTGCAAAATTGAGTGAATCCCATATTTTTTTCTGTTTTTGGGACTACAAACTTTCTATAATGTCATTACAACACGGAGTTACCCAAAACAAAGAACCCTCGCTAAGCAATAATTTTACACACATCGATAATGTTGGTGGCAATACCTTTACACTGGTATGTAACTCGGCATGTAAACAGACGAAGAAGACATCGCACATTAAATATGAGAAAACATACAAAGATAACCTAGAAAGACCTTAAAAAATTTGTGAATGAAATTACTTAAAGATTTGATTCGGGCACACCACATAACACAAGCATGGTCTCACAGCTCTTTCACACCAGGAGAAACATTGAATTTAAATTGGTTACATATTAAATATTAAAATTAAATGTTATTTTATGTTACAGAAACCTGGGTATACCCAGGGTCTACAGAACCCTGGGCCTAGGAGTAATGAAAATATATATAATAAATATTTTTGTCTCTGGTATATTTTTAACAGAAAGTCAACACAGAATAATGCTGAAAATATTGCCGCAAATTTAAGAAAAGATAAAGCAAAATCAGTCACACAAAATCCTGGTGGTTACTGATATTATACAAAAATACTGAAAATCGTGGACAACAAACTTAGGTATTCTGATATTTGTCACCCTCCTGGCATATTTGGGAAAACACTGTAGATATTTAGAAACTATTTTATGAACTGATCACTAAAATGGTTTTGGGGTATTTCTAAGGCATCAGTAGCTATGTTTCCATCTTGATGAGAAGCAAATCTTTTCAAAGTTCGCAAAAAAAGACAAAATCCCAAATGGGAATTAGGTGCATTTCCATCAAGTTGTTGGAGAGGTCGACTGTACCAATACTACCAATACTACAGTCGACCTCTCCAACAACTTGATGAAAACACACCTAATTCCCATTTGGGATTTAACCAAGGGAAGCATAAAGGAGGCGACTGCAGTCACATTGGTGTAATTTATTCTCATTTCCGTCTCCCATTATTAACATTCAGCATTTTTTGCACAAACTCAAAACCATCTCAACCAAGCATAAAAACCTTTTTGCCAACTTTTATTCAGAATATCTTGTTTCTCATGCAAAAATGTGCATTAACGCAGTGTGATGGAAACTCAGCTACTGTGAAAACCTCTTTCATTAATAAGAGTGTGTATGATTATATTAAAATCTTCAATGGATTCTCTTCAATGGATCACCTATTCAGTTCTGATTCTCATGGTTGACATATTTCTCCCGTTTTCCTGCAGTGCTGCCACCCGTGCTGGTTCCACGAAACAGCGAGTTCAACGCTAAACTCTCCATGCTGCCACGCTTCCGTAACCCACTCCACCAGACGGAGCCCCCCATGCCTCAGAACGCCACCTTCCCCGACTCCTTCCCCCAGCAGCCAGCAAATGCCCTTCCCTTTACCCCGAACTCCCCAACCAACAGTTATCCCAGCTCGCCCAACAGCGGCACAGGCAGCACTGCCACCTTTCCACATTCGCCATCCAGCTCAGATCCAGGCAGCCCTTTTCAGATGCCAGGTGAGATCGCTCTTAACCTGCACGTTAATGGTGCACTAGAAACATTTATGAATATTATTAATGCATTATTACTGTGAGGAGTTCACCTACAGTATGTTTATAGTTGAAATGTATGTTAGTTAAATCTCATACCGAGCTTATTCACACACTCTTGTACTGGATTTAGCAAATTAAGTTTAGCAAATTCATATTAGTTTGATTTTACTGTTCTGGCATTAAGCTATGCAAAACTTCTACAGCTTTTAAGGGAAAGACTGTACATTTGACATGTATCTTTTTTCTGACTGACTCTTTTTTTCCACTTAAGTTAATGTTTAACCCTCAATATTTCTAATGTGGAAATACAAAAATGTTAGTCATTTGTCAGTACATGTCGTCATTCACCTTTCACTGTGTTGCTTGTGTTTTTGGGTGTTGCTTCTAAAGAAACCCCTCCACCTGCGTATATGCCTCCAGAGGAGCCAATGACACAGGACTGTCCCCAGCCAATGGACACTAACCTATTAGCTCCAAACTTGCCATTGGAGATCAGCAACCGAACAGGTACCCTTCATTTAAATGCTAAAAGACACCATAAAATAAGACACTACTCTAAGCTCCAGTCACTCCAGCAAAGATATTGCTCCTTCCTTACAGTCTGACATGGGCGTTTTATAGCTATCAGCAGCTGCCGACCCACACTGCAGGTGCAGGAAGTCCACACACAAACATACTCGTGCACAGCGTCACAGACAGTCTGAGTTTTTGTCCTTTAAATGTGTATGGGGGTTCTTGCAGTACAGCATGTGGCATGCAAATGAGCAAAACAGTTAGAAATTGGTAAATAATGGGGTTCTTTAAAAACTGTGTTTTAGTTGGAAAAAGGGAGTCCATATACAGTTGAAGTCAGAATTATTAGCCCCCCTTTGTATTTTTTTTTCTTTTTTTAATTAATTCCCAAATGATGTTTAACAGAGCAAGGAAATTTTCACAGTATGTCTGACAATATATTTTTCTTTTGGAGAAAGTCTTATTTGTTTTATTTCCGCTAGAATAAAAGCAGTTATCAATTTTTTAACAGCATTTTAAGGACAAAATTATTAGCCACTTCAAGCTAATTCTTTATTTGATAGTCTACAGAACAAACCATTGTTATTTAATAACTTGCCTAATTACCCTAACCTGCCTAGTTAACCTCATTAATCTAGTTAAGCCTTTAAATGTCACTTTAAGCTGCATAGAAGTGTCTTGAAAAATATCTAGTCAAATATCATTTACTGTCATCATGGCAAAAATAAAATAAATCAGTTATTAGAAATGAGTTATTGAAACTCCTATGTTTAGAAATTTGTTGAGAAAAATCTTCTCTCTGTTAAACAGAAATTGGAGGAAAAATAAACAGAGGGTCTAATAACTCAGGGGGGCTAATAATTCTGACTTCAACTGTATGTATGCTTGCTGATCATTGTTATTCTCAAACAAAATCTTCATGGTCCAAAACCATTGAAGTATATATACACTCAGGGTACTGTATTTGGTAGAAAAATAAGTCACAGATGACCAGAAGTTGCAGCCTGTGTTTGCAAAATTGCATTGTCATAAGAAAAACTAAATAAGTGGTTGTTTTACCACTGCAACAAATCATTCACAGTGACCAGTATAACAGTTGGGCTGAAAAAATAAAATAAAATTCAGCATAAGGAAACCTTTTCCACAAAGCTGAAAACAATTTGACATTTTTAAGTCACTTTGACTATTAAGTTCAGCTAAATGCTAAAAATAAATAATTATAATTGTAATAAAAAGTGACATATTCAGTTAAATGTACAGTATTATACACTATCTGACAAAAGTCTTGTTGTCTATCTAGGTTTTAGGAACAACAAATAGTAACTTGACACAGAAGTGGCTTATATGAAAGGCAAAGGCCTCTAGATTACACTTATTTAACCAAAATAAAATATGATCATGCCTTGATTTTTAATAATTTATTTAGGACAGTAAGATCTGACTTTGCTTAGACAAAAGTCTGTGACTTAACAGAAATGATGTACAGTATAGAATATAGTCATGCTGCATGTATTGTTTATGACTCCAATAAGCTTGGAAGACTGCATCTATACACCTCTGCAATCACTCAAATAACTTATTAAAAAATCGTCTGGAATAACAAAGAAAGCACTCTTGCAGGGCTGGCCAATCCTGGAGCACCATGACTGTCTTTGCTTTCAGGAACGTTGATGTGGAGGCTAAAATAACATTTGTAATGTGATAGACACAAATGTCTACCTTAAGCTGTTGATGTTGCCATCCACCCTGCAGATCTCTTGCACGCCCCCATACTGAATGTAACCCCAAACCATGATTTTTCCTTCACCAAACTTGACTGATTTCTGTGAGAATCTTGGATCTATGCGGGTTCCAATAGGTCTTCTGCAATATCTTTGATGATTTGGATGCAGTTTAACAGATGATTCATTGGAAAAATCTACCTTCTGCCACTTTTCCAAAAGATCAACTAGAAAAGAAATCAAGTTATTTGTTGCTTTTACAACTGGGATTGAAGACAAAACCTTCGTCAGGGAGTGTACATTATGTGCAAACAATAAATGTTAAAAGTAGCTTGCTAACGGGTTTGCACAGTTTACTGCAAATCTGTAAATAAACCTTTCTATTCTACACAATTATATTGAAAACTGGGGGTAGCCACAGCGAAAAGTACTGCCAACTGATCCAGCATATGTTTTACGCAGTGGATGCCCAGTCTACATATAGTTGTCTACATATAGTGTGTCCCAGCATCCCACAGGAGGCGTGGGGGTGTGCATAGTGAAGAAGAACTGTTGAAATATTTGTGGAAGTTGTGGTACAGTTTTGGGATGCACACTCAAGCTGCATCCTGTGAACTGCTGTAGTGCACAACTTCTATTGTGAAAGGCTAATGGGAAAAGAGTAGACAAAACACACCTGTGGCCCAGTGTCACAGATCAGAGGAAGTCCACTTAAACAAATGCTGTAGATTAACATTTTACTCTCTTTGGGATTAGAATAGTTGATGAGCTGTGGACATCAGAAAGAGGACATTTGAATTATTTTGGTGACCCACAAACACTATGCAGTATTGCTCTAAAGTGGGATTTGATACGGACAGTGATCTCACTTGCATTTTGCTGATTTTGTTGTATTTTGTTGGCCCTTGAATAGCGCAGGGTTATAGCCAATCACAACAGCCTGTTACTGAAGTGTTACCATTAATAGCCTAGCAACAGTGACCTCATAGAAATACCCTAGTAAAATCGATATGCCCTCTGCTGTAAGAGATGAGATGCGAGTCTAAATCTGTTAATCATATTGCTAAATCACTTTCAAAGACATAATGCCGCGCTGGAGGGGCATGCATATGCTCCAAAACAAAACAAGACTTTTTTTGTGGTTGTCAAAAGTGCAAAGCAAGTAAAAAAGGCATGTGATAATCTGTGAATTTACAAACTTGTCTCCAAAGGGATAGTTCACTCAAAATTGGGAATTGTTCTTCTTGTTCCAAACTTGTCTGAGTTTCTTCCTTCTGTATTTAGTTATGTTTTAATGGCGACGTGGTGGCGCAGTGGGTAGCACGTTCTCCTCACAGCAGGAAGGTCACTGGTTCGAGCCTTTGCTGGGTCAGTTGGCATTTCTGTGTGGAGTTTGCATGTTCTTCCCATGTTCGCGGGGGATTCCTTCGGGTGCTCTGGTTTCCCCCACAGTCCAAAGACATGTGGTACAGGTGAATTGGGTAGGCTAAAACTGTACATAGTGTATGAGTGTGTGTGTGTGAATGAGTGTGGATGTTTCCCAGTGATGGGTTGCACCTGGAAGGTCATCCACTGGGTAAAAACATATGCTAAATAAGTTGGCAGTTCATTCCGCTGTGGCGACCCCCGATTAATAAAGGGACAAGAAAATGCCGAAAAGAAAAGGAATGAATGATTCAATAAATAGTATATTGACTTCATTAGTATTTTTCCTAATATGGGTGTCAATGGCTACCAGTTTCTAGCATTCACCAAAACAATCTTTTGTGTTCAACAGAAAAAAAGAAAAAAACTCATACAGGTTTTCATTTATGACTTTAATAAAATTTTTGACACTTATTTTTACATTATTATTTTACAACACTCTAATTTTTGGGGTCAGAATAAAAAAGAATTCTGCAATGATGCATTAAATTGATAATTTGAGGACTTTCTATTCATAAAGGTTTAAAAGATTCAAATATTTACACAAAAACAGTAGGCCACACAATTGTTTAAAAGACTTGTACTCATATATAAGAGTTGGTTCAAATAAAAATGATAATTACTGCATGATTTACTAATCTTTGAGCTACCCTCAGTGTATATGACTTTATTTTTCATTATAATTCAATCTCAGTTACTTCAAAAAAATCTCCTTGGTCTTTTAAGCTCTACCATCACAACAGGTGGCTGTTTCCCTTCAACTGTTCAAAACAAGTCCAATTAAGTATGTACTCACATGACACCAGGGAGTTAATATAGGTCTCAATGTAGTGAATCTGTGCGTTCCACAGTGGAATGAACCACCAACTATTCCAGCATATGATTTACACAGCAGATGCCCTTCCAGCCGCAACCCATAACTGGGAAACACCCGTACACACTCATTCACACACATACTACTGCCAATTTAGTTCATCCAGTATGTCCATATTTAAAACTTTTTAAAAGGTGTGTGCAACTTCTCCTGACTGTAATACATGCATTTACATAGGAAGTTTGGTTTGCACATGAAGACAATTTAACATTTTATCCTCTACACATACATCCTACCCCATCTGCCCAAAAGCAGTCTCTCATAAATGCAAAAAAAACTCATATACACCTAATGCATTAATGGTGGGTAAATCATGGGCTATTTTTATTTTTGGGTGAACTCACCCTTTAAGTTATGTTCTTCGAGCAGCAAATTATCATAGCAGAATCATTTCTGAAGGATCATGTGATACTGAAAACCAGAGCAATTGAGGCTCAACTCAAAATTCTTCTTTTCTGTAAATAAATAACATTATAATATATGACAAATTTAACTTCTTAAGCGTATGTGCTCTTGTGCTTATTGAGTTTACAATTTTGTGTGCAGATGTTCATCCTGTGGCCTATCAGGAACCCAAGCACTGGTGCTCCATTGTGTACTATGAGCTGAATAATCGTGTGGGTGAAGCCTTTCTGGCCTCATCCACCAGTGTACTCGTGGATGGCTTTACTGACCCATCCAACAACCGCAACCGCTTCTGCCTGGGTCTGCTGTCAAATGTCAACCGGAACTCAACCATCGAAAACACCCGGCGTCACATCGGAAAAGGTTTGCTTTGTTTATACATAACTATTCTATGTCCAGTAGGATATACTAAATATTCTGCATTGACTTGCACAATTACATAGGATAACAATTTGACAGTAAGTCAGTGTGAAGTTTTATCATTTCTAGAGGAGCATGTGATTGTTCTGATGATTGATCGCGTCTGGTCTCTGGTCAGACAATAGTCAGATTAATCCAAACCTACAATAAAATAGCCCATTTCACCTTACTTCCCTTATCTTCATTTTTGAAGAGTTCCCCCATCCACCCCATCTCCCCCTTTTCCTCCATTACCAGAGGGCTCGGACCCCCTTATATGAGTTTTCCAAAAAAACAAGCTAAATAATCTTACTTCAAAGCAAAGAGAAGGTTATTTTGCTTACTCTGTTGACAGATTATTTTACGTTTCAACTGTTTGTTTTGACTTCGTTATATCATTTATTATTATTTTGTTTAGAAAATGCTTCTTGATTTAATATTTTTTTGGATATTTAGACTAGAAATAAGACAAACTCTCTAAATAAGTAAAGCATTCTTTGCAGTGCATGGTCTGCTTTAGAAAAGGCTGTAATATTTGTCATAATGTAAACAATCATCTTTTCATACATTCTGCAGGAGTCCATTTGTACTATGTGGGAGGAGAGGTGTATGCCGAATGTTTGAGCGACAGCAGTATCTTTGTCCAGAGCCGCAACTGCAATTACCACCATGGTTTCCACCCCACCACCGTATGCAAGATCCCCAGTCGCTGCAGCCTCAAGATCTTCAACAACCAGGAGTTTGCAGAGCTCTTGGCACAGTCAGTCAATCACGGTTTTGAAGCTGTCTATGAACTCACCAAGATGTGCACCATCCGCATGAGTTTTGTAAAGGTAAGCTACTGTACACAAGATGAACACAAGGTTTACCTGGAAATTGAAAGTGTCATTCCTTACTCACCCTCGTGTGGTTTACAAGTTATTTGTATTTCCCACTTCTCTAAAACATAGAAGATATTGTGAGGAATGTTTTAGCATTTCAGCTGCCTCATTTTTTTTGAATAATTGGGATTTTTAAACGTTGTGAAAAGTCACTTACCCTCATTAAAGCTGCATTTATTTGAGCAAAATACAATCAAAATAGCAGTATTGTGAAACTCTCTTCTCTTTCACATTTATTTTATTAATGTAAGTGTAGCGGCTTTCCAATTGCCGATATCGTTGGAAGAATGAGGAAGTTTTGTATGCGTAACTGTTAGGAGTCCAAAGGCAAAATTAACCAGAAATTAGCCAGAGATCAGTTATCAAGATTAACAGATCCAGGATCTGACAAATCATCTTAGATAATTTAAGCGAGCTACAAAGAACAGACCGCAGGATTCAGTCATCTGTATTGTACGCTACTCTCTTGTATGTTAATTTGCTCCAAACTCAATTCACTAAGCATTGAGCTCTGCAGCATATTTAGAGTTTTTTACAGAAAAGTATCTTTCTAACCTCAAAAGAGTGCCCTAGCTACAAACTTTGAAGTAGCTGAATAAAACCTGTCTTATTTGAAAGAAAATCCCCTAAATTTTAAGATGCATTAAAATATTGCATATTTAGTATTTTATTAATTCATAATTATACAATAATCACACAAAAAAGTCAGATTTTTTTGTTATTTCTTATTTGATTATTCCATTTTTAGCCATCTGTTTATGTGGAGTTCTTTTGTTTGTTTCATTTTATTTCACCTGGTGGCAATAAACTGAGGAAATTTTTTTTTTGCTATCTTATATGCAATAAAAATTATACAGATTTACCTGTTGTTAGGAAGAGTGTACTTTTAATTTCCATATTTTTGTTTTTTGCACATATGACATACCTAAATTTAAGAGCCTCCTACACATGCATACATTTGAATAAATGTATGAAAATGGTCTCATTTTACAGAAAACTAATAAAAAATACTTGTGAGGGAAACCAGAGCACCTGGAGGAAACCCACACGAACACAGGGAGAACATGCAAACTCCACACAGAAATGCCATCTGACCCAGCCGAGGCTCGAACCAGCACCCTTCTTGCTGTGAGGCATACATACTGCCCACCGCGTCGCCTTGCAATAATGAATTATATTAATATATTTTTCTTAAGCAGCACAATTATCTTCAACCTTAATAATATTATTAATAGTAATATTATTAATAATATATTGAGGCATTAAAAGATAAATATTTGAAAATTTGGAATATGGTGAAATAAGGTCAAAAACTGTGTGCTTCTTACCAATGCTCTTCCTTGATTCAGTGAAGTCTGTTATATAGTACCATGCTTCCACCTAGTGTCCAAATGCTATTCTACAATGTTTGGCTCGAATACGAAGTTGGCATGTACGTGATGGCAAAGTTAAATATTTAACAGTTATTACTCTAGTATGCAGTATTATGTTTTTAATTTATAATAAATACACAGGAGAAAACACAGTACTTTACACTCTCAGAAATAAAGGTACACGAGCTGTCACTGGGGTGATACCTTTTCAAAAGGTACACATTTGTACTTAAAAGGTCCATACTGGTACCGCAAAAGTATATATTAGTACCTAAAAATTTAAGAGGAACACTTTTGTACTTTTTAAGTGCTAATATATACCCTTGAGGTATTAAAATGGACCTTTAAGGTACAACTTTGTACCATTTGAAAAGGTACCACCCCAGGGACAGCTCGTGTACTTTTATTTCCGAGAGTGTACTGAACTTTAATGAACACAGCATCCATACAGGAAAGGGAGTTAAGGACATTTTTAGGGGTTAAATACATGAGGATAGTCATCAGCGTAAAACAGGACAGGTGAGGAAATGAACTACTGTAAAAACCCAGTAAACTAATTAGAGATCTTGTTTTAGAAAACAGCATCAACAACAACAGCAACTACAACAGAGAAACATTAAACAGAACCCAAAACAGCAGAATGTAACTAAAATATTATTTACAATTTATGTTAAATAATATTTCAGTACTACCAATATTGTTTTGTCATTGGTGTTTATACACATCCTATTATTTCCATTTCTGTTCTATTGCTGTTTCAAAATTTCACACTCAGATATTGCTTGATGCTATTAGCTGGTTTGGCATGCTGTCCCAGGAGAGAACCCTGGGTTTGGAGGTAATTGACTAGGGCTGCTGTCTGGTCAATAAGCATATATAGGGGTCCGAGATCAGGTAGGCCTCGAAAGCTCCCCCTGGTAAAAGAAGGGAAAGGAGGAGATGGGGTGGAAGGGGGGAACTTTTCCAAAACGAAGAAAAGGTAGTACGGCGAAATCGGCCTATTTGTTGTAAGCTTCAATCAATTTGATTGCATTATTGCTGTTTACGAAGAGGCCAGCCACGATCAATCAAATCATGTGCTCCTCTTATAATTTGTTTGTAAAACTTCACGTATGTGTTCTGCGTATCCCGTATGTTTTTAGTTTTTCATTTCTGTGTTTATTGTATTTTGTATGTTTTGCACTCCTTAAAAAAAGAATAGGCATGTTACTTAAACTGTCAAATTAGTAATTTTTAAACATTTGCTTAATAATATTGTTATAGTTTGTAAAACACAAAACTGCGTGTATGTGAATAATTTGTATTATTATTTTTTTATTATTGTTTTGTTAAAAAAAACTGTTGTTTTATGTAACGTCACCTTGCTCAAAAACAAATCTTTCTTTATTTAATTTGCTCCAAACACAATTTCACCCAAAATATTAAGCAGCACAATTATCTTCAACCTTAATAATAATAACAATAGTAGTACTAGTAGTAGTAGTAGGCAGCAAGGTGGTGCAGTGGGTAGGACTGTTACCTCACAGCAGGAAGGTCGCTGATTTGAGCCTTGGCTGGGTCAGTTGGCATTTCAGTGTGGAGTTTGCATGTTCTCCCTGTGTTTGCGTAGGTTTCCTCCAGGTTTCCCCCAGTCCAAAGATATGCACTATAGGTGAATTGGGTAAGCTAAATTGTCCGTAGTGTATGAGTGTGAGTGAATGAGAGTGTGTGGATGTTTCCCAGTGATAGGTTGTAACTGAAAGGGCATCCGCTACATAAAACATGCTGAATAAGTTGGCGGTTCTTTCCACTGTGGCGACCCCTGATTAATAACGGGACTAAGTTGAAAATAAAATGAATGAATGAATAGTAGTAGTAACAGTAATAGTACTAATAATTTATTTTTAAGCATTAAAAGATAACTATTGAAATATCTGGAATATGGTGAAATACTGACAACAGTTCACAACCTTACTGCTTTGCTGTATTTTTGATTAAATAAATTCAGCCTAGGTGAGCATCAGATAATTTTAATTATTCTAGTCATATAAATAGACGCATTATGGAACCTTCTTACCTTTATGAAAGGAAAAACCATTAGACGCTGAAGTAAATTCATTTTTGTTTGTAAACAAATCTTTCAACAGACATCTGTTGTTGTTTTCCAGGGCTGGGGTGCAGAGTACCATCGGCAGGATGTGACCAGCACCCCGTGCTGGATTGAGATTCATCTTCATGGACCCCTGCAGTGGTTGGATAAAGTCCTCACCCAGATGGGATCTCCTCACAACCCCATTTCTTCAGTGTCCTAGATGGAGCTGACCATAAAGCAACTGCTGATGCAACCCTGTCAGTCTGGGTTCACATGTAGAAGCTGATTGGTTGAAGGGAGGGGTGGGAGATGACTAGAGGGTTGGCTTTGTGTACTACTTGAAGGCAGTTTGTTAGGGTGGGGGTCATCGAATCTGGCTGAAGAGTCCTCAGTTTTCAGCCCGTGAGAATCTGGAAGATACTTGACAACTCTGTGTGACCAAGCATGTTTAATGATGAGGCATCATACTTGTGGCGAGTATCCTCCTCTGGTCTTGTTCGTAAGAAGTTTGACTTTTTTAAAGCCAATTTGTTTGTTTTCTTTCTATTTCTTTTGCATTTCCCATCCTTTTCCCAGTTTACAATCAGTATTCCATTGACAAAAAAAGATCTGCATCCTAGCTTAGAGACTAGAACAGTGTTGTACAGAGTAGAGTAGCGTGAACACGTCTGAAAGACCACAACATAAATCTTGTGCAGAATTATAATGCTTTAAGTGAACTGAGCGGCATGAAGCTGTGAGAAGGATAACGAGGTTATTAATGCAACATTTCTCACAGCTGGAAAGGAGAAAAACATGTAGCAAAAACAGACAAAAATGTCTAATGTAGAATGAAAAATGCATATATTTGAATACGAAAACCGTTGAATGGGATAAATGTATGGGGAGTTGGGCATGTAAGTAGTGGGTAGGGAACTCGTGCAAATGTTGCGCTACTTTCATCACAGTTGCGTTCGACTGATTTTAAAAGTGGGTGTGTAAATGTACTTATTATTAGTAAGGAAAGTGTTGTGCAGTCTGTTTTTTTTGTTGTTGTTGGTTGTTTTGCAAGTGTGGTTTGATCCCCGGGATTGTAAGTTTGATGTCTACAAATGAGAGCAGAAGCAGGCATCGTTTTCTTTGTCCATGTACAGTATTGTGGACTCACCACTGAGCTGCACAGAAGAACGTCCTTGTTACTTTTATTCTGAAATGGCACGAATATGTTTCATAAAACACCTTTAGAAAAGCAGGAGGAAAAGCTTACATAATGCCTGTGCATTTTTAGAGTAAACTGATTTCTTTTGTGTTGACTAAGATTTAAATGGCACTAGTGATATTGTTTTGTTAAAAGAAATTGTTAATTTTTGATTAACTTCCTCTAAGATTTTTTTTATCCATAGTGAAATCCCATCCACTGTTAAAATGTACACATTTTTGTATTTTTTGAAGAAAATATATAATGTTGTTCCTTCATATTTGCACTTTCTTAAGTGGCTTCTCGTCTCTGTCCCTTTTTTTTCGTGCTGTTCTTGCTTACCTGTACTCTCAGAAAGCAGTTTTATTCCATATCAAGTCTCTACTGGAAGATTCAATTAAAGTGTTTCATTATCACTGTCTGTTTCTTTTCTTCATGTTTAGAAGCAGAACATTTAAAGCAAGCAGTACATTTAATGAGTAACCTATTATTCAGTGGAGGTAATGCTGTTTATACAGTGGGAGTAATGCAAATGTTAGATATCAATGTAATGTGTGATATACTGTTAAAACCTGATATGAAACCACAAACGATGTATAACCAAATAAAATAAATAATAAAGTTATATAGTTATAGGTCTATGAAGAGCAAAGGCATATTTGTTAAAGATACAATTTCATTGAATTTCATAGACTGAATCGGAGAGTTGTTTAGGCGTAAAAACAGCTCCCTCTAGTGTCGTATTTGAATCTGTACGTACAACATATACAATAAATTCAAACGCGCGCGCACACACACACACACACACACACAATATGTAAGCACATCAGAGTGTGGAAAAACTACCTAACATACAGAAACAATATTTTATTGAGGTGAATTATTTATCACTGTAAAATTATTTATTAACTTATATGACGGCCCAACTGTGGAATGTGCCAACTTCGCTTTTGAGGACGTGCTGAAGTGGACCATACACTTTAAGTATCTATTTTAAGATGCTGTAATGTAAATATGTATGCTAACAGAAATATTAAATAGACATCTGTTTACGAGAAACAAAAACAAACAAACATATACATAAACAACTGTATAGGCTACATAAACAGAGCTATTTAGACGCTGTCTAAACGCTGCATATATAGCCTATATGAATTAAACTCTGACACCATTTGAGATAAATCAAATCAACTGTGAAATTTTCTAAGTATTATTCTCTGATGCACAAGACCTGCTTTTTTGTTTTAGTTATGCCTTTATGGTATTGAAGCCATATTTTCAGTATATCTAGCCTACTAATCACATTAAATAAATTGTACTCTGACACCATTTAAGATAGAGGAATCAAATAAACTGTAAAATTGTCTAAATATTATTCTCTATGATGCACAAGCTTTAATTTTTTACAGTTATGCTGTTATTTTTATTTACAGTACTGAATTCATATTTTTAGTAGGCTAGGCTATATCGCACACACTAATTAAGGATAAATAAATCAAATCAATGTTTTTATATAGGGAATTGAATCCATATTTTCAGTAACCTACATCGGACACACTTTAAACACTTAAATGAATTGTGACACCATTTGAGATAAAGAAATCAAATCGCCATATTTTAAAGTTAACTATTAACAGTTAATTTATTTGTACTGTTATTTCTATTACTTATTCAATTTCCCATTTATTGTATTTATTTAACGCCTCCCATCCCAAACCTAAACCCAACAGTCACAATACTGTAAAAATATTAATTATTGTTATACTGATTATATATTGATGCGCATATCGCATGTCCTGCCGGCTGCGTATTCGATCTAGACTTTACCTCATACCACCTACATACCAAAAACACACATCTGTACAAACTTCAATTCCAATTAATACCAAAATTTGTATCAAGGCTATTATTTATGCTGTTAAAATACTAATGGCCTACTTATGAATGTAAAAGAAATTCAATATACAGTAGTTAACATCTGAAGTGGATCAAACAAGTTTTTCAAGAATTGACTATCAATGCATTCCTGGACTCTTTATTCATTCATTCATTCATTCATTCATTTTCTTGTCAGCTTAGTCCCTTTATTAATTCAGGGTCACCACTGCGGAATGAACCGCCAACTTATCCAGCAGGTTTTTACGCAGCAGATGCCCATCCAGCCGCAACCCATCTCTGGGAAACATCCACACACACATTCACACACACACTCATCCACTACGGACAATTAAGCCTACCCAATTCACCTGTACCGCATGTCTTTGGACTGTGGGGAAAAACGGAGCACCCGGAGGAAACCTGGACTCAAACCTATTCCTGGACTCAAAACTAGTAATTGTTTAACATTTGTTATGTTATTTTATCCTTCAATAGACTACATCTTCAGCCATTACAATATCTGTGATGAGCTGGGGAAAGGTGGATTTGGTGTATTATATGAAGGGAAGCGTTTGGATGATGGTCTTAAGGTAAATATAAATAACACATTATCAAGCAGGCAAATGTTTGCTCTGCCATATCTTCATCCTCTCTAAGCCATCTTAGTGTTCATTTTCTTGTTGTACATCAGGTGGCTGTGAAATACGTCACCAAGAGCCAGTATACAGAATGTTTTGTAAGTACAATGCACTGTACAAAACACATACAATATATCATATTAGCATGATTCACAGGGAACCCACCTCCATCTAAAAATAATAACCCATCTACATCTTTCAGGCCGACCATTCAAACCACATGCCAAAGGAGATCGCCCTCACCATCCCTGCTAATAAAGGGCCCAGCGACCCCCACGTCATTAAGCTTCTAGACTGGCAAGACCATGAGGACCATTATATCTTGATCCTCGAATCTCCTTCTGAAAATCTTGAAGAGTTCCTGTACCATCACGGTGGAACCCTAGACGAAAGCACAACACATCACATCATGCAGCAAGCAGTTCATGCTGCTAACCTGTACTGCCAGAGGGGAATCTTCCACCGTGACATCAAACTGGATAATCTACTCTTAAATAAGGAAAATTAGAGATTAAACTTACTAACCTTTCCTTACATACGTATTTCTGCCGCACTTTAATCCACACGTGAGTCCAGCAGTGCTCTCATAGCGGGAAATAAAAACAAAACCTTCCTTGTAGCACATTTTGACAAAACACTAATGACCATGTTTCCAATTAATTCTTCTTCGTCCACTTGTTTTGGCAACACAACGTGGCGTCTCTCTGCCGTCTGAACACTGTAACATGTAAGTCTTCGAAGCTATCATGCATATTAATGAAGTTGCATCACATTCACAAAAGAGCACGCTGATTGGTTTAAACCAAGCCTTTCTCATAAATTAATGCTGCACACTCAGAGATGTCACAAAGTACTCCCAGGTACAGACATCCACTCTCCACACTGGAATACACACAAGGATCTAATCGCCGTGACGCAGTTTCAAAAACTCGTTTCAAACTGGAAGAGTGAATTTGCTCCTAATAACGCAAAAACAACCAATTTTCACTTTCTAGTAAAATATATGTATCCTAATAGTGTTTTTAGCAGCGTGGGACACATATATGACCGTCAACAGCTCAAAAAATGTGTTTTGGTGTTTCGTGACCCTTTAAAACCTGACTGAAAATCTTCATGAATACCTTTATTAAGCTTTATTAATAAATTGCTTTATTAAGCAAGTTATCTTAACAATATCCACAGTACTGCAATATCAAATTTCAGGCAATGTAAGTCAAATGCCAGAAGAGAAAATGCAGTTAACACTATAAGTTTATATTTTGAATAAAATCTGAACCTTTTTTGTGGGGAAAAGGGAAAAAAATCATGCATTCTTTATATTATTTATTAAAAGATGGTTGTCATAATGTTCAGTTAACAGAAAGTACTTTTTTCTTCATTCAATCATTTTCTTCTCGGCTTAGTTCCTTTATTAATCAGAGGTTGCCACAGCAAAATAAACCACAAACTTATCCAGCATATGTTTTACACAGTGGATGCCCTAGGTGCGACCCATCATTGGGAAACATTCACACACACTCAATGTGCAATTGTGCTATCCACTGTGCCACCGTGTCACCCTGCCTTTTTTCTTATTAAAAATAAAACTTTTTCTACTTCAAAAACTAAATATTCAAAGATTGTACTCATGACATGCAGACTTTTTAATTGTTTGGAAAAAGCATAATTCTACATTGTTGTCAAATGTTTTTAATAAAGATGATTATGTATAACAGATATAAAAAAATGTTTTTATTTTTGACTTGAAATCACAAACGTTTTCTCTGCCACTCCACAACTGAAACACCCGCTGTGACAGCATTAAGAAAAGCTGAATAAAAAAGGTTTTCATTACTTTTGAATTGCTCTTTTTGCTTGCAGAATATAGGCCTACTTTTTTTCCACAGAGTGCCTTGAAATTATCATTTAATTGTGATAATTCAACCTGGTCTACACTCTGTTTCTCAAAAGTGATTGACTTTGGATGTGATGATCTGCTGAAAAAATCTGGAGAATCTGGCTATTACATGGAGCCTACTGTGTATGTATATTAGTTTCAAGATAAACCATTTCCCATGGTCCAAACCATAGACATTATGATAGAAAGCTAGACACCCCATGGGCCACTGGATAGTACATCAATGCCGTCACCATCTTAATCTGGTAACCCAGTCCTACTTCGCTGTTGTATCTCTAACCGAGACTGAGTAAACATATGTTAGATCAGACCTCATCTGCTCCACCACCGTCACACTCAACACTGGTATACCACAGGGCTGTGTGCTGAGCCCCTTCCTCTTCTCCCTTTTTACCATCGACTGTAGGCCTGTGAACAGATCCAACACCATCATCAAATTTGCAGATGACACCACAGTGATTGGTCTAATCAGCAATAATGATGAGACTGCCTACAGGGAGGAAATACAGCATCTAGCCACTTGGTGCACAGACAATAATCTGCTCCTTAACACCAACAAGACCAGGGAGCTTATTGTGGACTTCAGGAAGGGATGAAAAGGCTCACATGATCCCATCCACATCAATGGGATGGCCGTTGAGCCTGTCTCATCCTTCAAGTTCCTGGGGACCCACATCTCAAAGGACCTTTCCTGGACCACCAATACCTCCAGCCTGATCAAGAAGGCCCACCAGCGCCTATTCTTCTTAAGGCAACTTAAGAAGAACCAGCTTTCATCAGCCGTCTTGGTGAACTTCTATCGCTGCACAATAGAAAGCATCTTGACCAACTGCGTCACAGTCTGGTATGGAAGCTGCTCTGTTGCTGAGCGTAAGGCACTGCATCGGGTGGTGAAAACTGCCCAACGCATCACAGGGACCACACTGCTAGCCATGGAGGACATCCAGAGGAAACACTGTCTGCGCCGAGCACGCAGTATTTTGAAGGACACCTTTCACCCCGCT